GAGCGCCGTTGAACCAACAACCCCGGAGCCCTCGCAGCACGAACCATCGGAACCCGATGAATCATATCTGGTGGCCCTTATCTTGGAATCGCTGAAACTACATAGAGAGATGTAAATGAGCTTTTATAGTAACGCCCACCAGTCTTCTATAGTGAGTCCTTGGATGTAGACATGTAAACCCAGTCATAAGTCTTATACATGAATAAGAGATACAGGGTCGGTGCGCTAGCTAGTAGCGGGAGATGGATTTGGGACAGGAGGAGGATATGAGAGCGTCGCAGGCGGTACCTGACAGCGTCTGAGGGGCCAGAGCTGGGTGGAATAATAGGCAGGGCATGTAGTGTGGATGAGATGTAATTTCGTTCGTAGGCTGCGCACTATTCAGGAAACGAGACGCCAAGTGGTGGGAAGTACGAAAGCCGGGGCAATGGAGGCAAGCACTAGTGCTGCATCAGGACTTGCCGCGGCTAGTTCAAGACGTGTTTGAATCGTAAGTACCGCACGCTTCAGTGCGAACATAGTACGTGTCGACCGAGGGCGCGGGCGTACACGGACAGGCTAGGGAGGCGGTCGAACGCGGAGACGGTGCCACCCCGGCTACGCGCCTGCGGATCACGGCGAATGCGGAGATTGTGCGTTCGACGCGTTCTGGCGCCAAAGCCGAAAATGGCGCGAAGGAGTCTAGCGTCAGTACTTCAGTGTTCAAGACATTTGAGGGATCTACAGTAGTGCGACGAAATTGTCCCTCTACTGTACCCTGAAGATGCTAGGCTAGCACTACGAATAGTTGAGGGGTGGTTCCAGGCACGCTAATGAAAGTCCGGTCTGATCTCGGCGGTCTAGAAGTGCCCTGAAGTGCCACAAAGGAATCAGCGTAACATTTGAGATTGTCAATGCTCTGTGTATCATTCCAATATGCTGACAATATTTCCACCCTAAGCCCCCTTTCTGACTGTAGAAACCACCTGGGCGGAAACTACTTCCACCAGCCGGTTGACAACTACATCCGGAGTAATAGACAGCATTGCCAACGCGAATTCGGCCCTCTTCTAGCCTCCCTTGCAGGCTTTTCAGCGACCTTTTTGGCGCTTCCGATTCGCGAACAGCTTTGAGTGATCTGCCCCACGCAGCTCGTTCACAGTTCGGCCATGAAAGTTCGAAAACTGGTGCAACGCGCGGTGCCGCGCCTCCCACAGTTCTCAAGTGTTCCCGTTCGGGCTGGCAACGCCGTCCACCTCGTCCGCGCGACCCCGTCCACACGTCAGCCCCAGACCTCCGCCATAGTACTTGGTACACCTACGCAGCTCTGTGCAAAGACAATTTTGGCGAAAGATGAGGGGCAAGGCAGAAAGTAGAATGAGCAAATCGACCCTTAGGGTTCGGCGTTGGAAAATACTGTCAGGTTGATAATGTTTTCCGCTACAATTCCGGATGCTTTACCGATGCGGGTCTTCTACACGGCGCTGTTCTCACGATCGGCGCCTGAACTCCCCGCTCTGAGGATTCCGCAACGATCGGGTTGCTCGGCTTCATCGATCGCTTGCTGCACTGTGCTTGCCAGAGTGAATCCTGATCATGGGGACTCTCGTTTCATAGGGAATCTTTGGGAAGGTTCCTAATGCATAATTGAAGATTCTGTGAGAGGCAAAACCGCCAAGCGTATTGTTTCAACGCCCGGTATCAGCCGAGATAGTTGACCTCGTTCTTCGGTAGTATGTATCACCAAACGGCACAGCCATATCGTTTTGCCATCTGGAAGCTCTTGAAACACACACATCTCATTCCCGTGCATCACATGTGATGTAATACAGGCCCTTCGCCGTTCGGACAACGATTGCTCCAAGTACTAGTTCCATCGGTGATCTTCCGGACAGGCTTCATCCACCGCCGGTGGTCCGGCGACCGGACTTCTCGCGTCGCACGCAGGTGAGCGGTGGGGGACAAGTGGGTGGTTGAATCTGGATCCGCACATGCGATGAAAACGTCAGCATTGCGTTTGGTCAGGCGTCTGCGCGCCACCCTTTGCCAGAAACCACCATCCATCTCTTCTAGCCATACGCTCTTTGACTCCCTCAACTCTCTCAATTCGAATACTGCTCTGAACTGAACGACTAGGCAACATGTCCATCTCAATTTTTAGCTCTTTCGCCGAAGCCAACCGACGCAGCAAGCGATGGGAACCCGTGTGGGTTGAATATTTGCGGTCTATGGCTGAGGAAGGAGATACCTTTGGCGAGAACTCAGGTATTACCGTGAGCGCCATCATGACATTCGTATGTATCCCTTATGCTCCTGTTGGATCAGACTGATCATGGTTACGACAGGCGGGTATCTTCGCTGCCATCGTCGCGGCCTTCTTGATAGAGAGCTACAAAACGCTCAAGCCTGATACGGGGGCTCAGGCGGTGTTTCTCTTGGAGCAACTTGTGGCCGGACGCGAGCTCAATACGACCGGGCCTTTCGCGAATCGTCTTCCGGCCTTCCATGCTTCTGAAACGGACGTCTTAATCAACACCCTTTGGTTCGCTGGGCTAGTCCTATCGCTCATGGCCGCCCTGCTGGCTACATTATATCAAGAGTGGATCCGACAACTCCTCAAAGCTCAGCATCGTGTCAGCGACGAAACCGCCGAAGAGCACTCTCTGCGTCACCTCTCACTGTACGTGGGCGCGCGCGGGTTTGGCTTGGACCTCGTCGCACCGAGCATCATCGGCTTGATGCACCTTGCCGTCGCTCTCTTTCTATATGGGCTGCACCTTTTCCTGTCGGAGGTCCACCCCGTCCCTGCCTGGTGGACGAGCCGCATCATAGCCATATGTGCGGTGATATACGTGGTTGGCAGCCTCTTCCCGCTATTCGACGCCACGTGCTTTTATCGCACTCCTTTGACCTCGTTTGCGACACGCCTCACCCTGTTTTGCGCGAACATCGTGTTCTGCCTCATGTCATACCTAGCGATGCTCACAGTCGTCGTGACGTTGCTTCTGACACGGCGCCGATTGCATCCCGTCTGGTCTTACTTCCTCGGTGGGAAGTTCTGGTGGGGCCTTCTACGGGATTCGCTATTCATCCCGCGGGCCATAGGCGCGTCATTCGCCTACTGCAAACAACGCTATTGGGACGGAATCGACATCCCGGTGACTTTCTGGACATTCATCATGACTGCCGCCGAAACGGGAGATGTGCCGCAGTACTATCCACCTATAGGCGGACGCGAGTTAGGCGCTCTTTCGGACCACGTGGGGTCGGCCATCCTCGACCATCCCGCTTTCCTATTCCGCATCTCCCTGGACCTGCTGAACCCCCAAAGCAGAGATTTTGGCGAGTTCTTCGTTCGGACCCGCCGGGAGCCGGAGCTCGTCGAGAAACTTGCCGCAGGCTTAACGACTGTGGTCACAGTCGACGAGGCAGCGGGTGCGGTACGGGCGGTGCAATACGTCTTGTTTGCTGGGACCAACGACGACGATATCAGGCAGGCTGCTTCGGACCAAGAACGCCGATGGGATTTTATGGAACCCCTCCTTGATGCGCTTCCTGAGTTCGTTGGTTTGCTGAACCATCACAACATGAAAGCAATGGCAGAGGAGGATCTCATTATCATGGCATCCGTCTGCAGCCTCCGCTGGTCACTCCTACTGCTGTGGAAACGCATCCCTGCCCATGCCCGCCCACATTCGATCGCGCAACAGCACTTGCAAAGGCTATTCCTCGCTTTTGAGGGCTCGTACAGCAGCCTTCGTCTACTACCCCTCTCTGCGGATCACGAGAGGTCTTTAGACCGCCTCTTCGCATCGGACGTTGATCCCCTTCGGGAACTGGCACTTCGTAACGCTATGTCACTCCTGTCTGCCGCTGTGCGCTGCCAATGGGAGGGTTCGTGGCGCACGGCTGACTCTCCGTACCTCAATCCGGGGACGCGCAGTTGGGGGATCCCGTATCTCAGTGCGACAAATCACAGTTTGTTGGAATGGAATAAGGAGTTTCCGGAGGTTCGCAGTGGGCGCCGCAAATCGCCCGCGTCTGCAGCGTTCCACGAGCTGTTGCAACAGACTCGCCTGGACGCATGGACAGAGCCGGGGGCGACCCTGGCAACCCCCGCTGGCACCGATTGTCCCCCAGACGCTATTCTCGCATTGCGAGATCTAGCAAGTACAGTTGATCTCCACGCCCCTCGCCCTTGCGTAGCTGTCGATAGCGGGCGCCACGAGCCACCGACACAGGATCCCGAGACAGCGTCAGTTTTCTCAGCCACACCCGGCCACCCCGAAGTATACGGTCCTCAAGCGACAGAGCGCTCTTCCGCGGTCGTCTCATCACACCATACGCACGACACCGTCAACGGCTCCGTCAACGGCACCGTCAACGGCACCGTCAACGGCATCGTCAACGGCTCTACGTCGGACCAGGGCGAAGTTGTCAAGAGTTCAAGTACGTCGTCTCCAGCATATCATGTCTTGTCACGGCGGACTTACTCCCGTATACCAGCATGACCGGATATGCCATATTTGGGAGTACGCGGGCGCCGAAGGCGTTGGATAGGAGCTTTGTTCGCAGATGGGCAACGTCGTGGCTGTAAGAACACATTCTTTTATTTCATCATTTATTGCATGTACGTTAGGTTTCGTGGAGGTTCAATCACAATGAACGATGCTTTTGAACTGTTCAAGTTATCATCGCGGGTCAATGGGCAGTACCTGCCCTTGTGATTCAGACCAGCAATGGGTCGCCAAGCTAACACGAATAGAGGGTCCTGTTCGAATACGCACGGAAGTCTTGCAGGGCATATGGGGCATCTTGTATTTTATAGGAAAAAGAAGAACCAAGCGCACTGAGAGTAGAAAGAGGTCCGGTATCGATGCAGTGTTAGCAAGGACTGGCGCTCTGCACGGCAATCGCATGGTCGTTGATTCCATCGCTTTCTATTGGGTACGCGCATCTGTCTCACCTGCCTCTTACCGACAAAAGGAGGAGACACGCAGTACCAATGGAGGAACACTATGTTGCCTTCAAATTCGAGTTATTAGGGTTCCCGAGCATATGCTACTCTCCCACAGTGTGCAGTCGTACGGTGTACAGGCCCTCCATATCGTATTTGACTTCAACTACGAGATTCCAACCCTTCTGTCGTTGCTGATGAGGTCCGTCTGTGGCCTCGTGAAGGTACCAGACGCTTGTCTGTTCATACACGAAGAAATATGCGAAGTTGTACATCGTTGACGTGACGGTACGTTCAATTAAAAGGCACGGCAACTCTACGTTGGTTGGCTCTGCGCTATGAGCGATAGATTTTCTAAGGCATCGACAATGCCCTGGAATCGAAACATGAGATCGTTGCTGGAATCGTATGGTGGGCTACTGGGCCGCCTGTGGGACACCCACATGTTGGGCCAAGACAGCCGGTGCTGCATCTTCTGATACGCCACCCCGGCGCTGGATTACTATCCCTACCGGTCTTCGGCGATGGACTGACACAAGATGTGATTTCCTTACCGCGGGCGGTCGTTATGGCTTCTGCACCGCAGTTCTAGTTGCGATTCTATGGGCTACATGAAATTTCGCTTGCGCTTGCACCCATTGTCAGATACGTAGAGAAGGGTTTGCCAATCAGACTCTCGCGTGCGAGATCAACAAGCGCGTCAAGACAGGCACAGCTCTACGCGGCTTCTTGCAATGCCTAACTCTTGCCTAACTCCGACCTTGCTATCGTCTGCGAACTATTGACCACATCGTCAGTGCTTATGCCTGCTGAACGTCCTTGTTGCTGCCGTGGAAGATCTATCGCCGCGCCCAACGACCTTAAGCTTCGAGATCAGGCTATGACACGCAAGCACTGCTCAGCACCCGAACGAGAGGCCCAGATGATAATCTGTTTTCAACCTCGATTGAGTGGCGCATGGTCGATGGTACAGGTCAAGTTGCATGCAAGGGTACGATAGAGGGCGCGATGGATATACGAGCCTTGCGAGTGGTAAATACAGCGGGCATTCAGGTGAGTAAATCAACCCGGTTATAAACAAGGGCCACCAGATATGATTCATCGGGTTCCGATGGTTCGTGCTGCGAGGGCTCCGGGGTTGTTGGTTCAACGGCGCTCCGTGGCTGTCGACGGTTTGTCTACGACGAGACTGACGCATTCTGCCAAATTCAACCTACGACATGCAACGACCGAGATGTCGAGATGCCATTGCGTAGCATCTATGTACATGTGAGGAGAACCGACCAAGTGCTACCACGGTACCCAGTCGCAATGTGGACCTCATTCTACATGTCGAGACTGAGGTGTACAGATGTTGAAGACCGGCTCGGTAGCCTCGATGAGGACCTGGTAGCATCTACTCACAGGAGATGAACCGCTTCTGGCCGCTGTGGGGCGATGGTCGATGTCGGCTGCGCAGGCGCGAATTCGCGACCAGGGGACGCGCCGCTACCTGGAGTCTCACGGCCTCTGGAGAGTTGGGTCTCGATATGTCCGGGTACCGTGAGAGCGATCATCGGCGCCGGGAGCGACTGCGGTCTGCAGTGCGCTGGATCACGGTCTCAGGGGGCCGAGCGACGACGGCGGGAAGAGTGTAGAGGAAGAGCGCGGTCATTGGTAGCGGGGGATCGACGAGTCCAGCGTCCACAGCGGCCTCGGTAGTGCT